AGCCCTTTATCATTATGTAGTATCCTTCTTTATCTCTTGTTACTTTCTTTGTTTTGAAGTCTATTTTGTATGATACTAGTATTGCAACACCTGCTTTTTTCTCCCTACTGTTTGCATGAAATATCTTTTTCCATCCCTTGACTTTTAATCTGTGCATGTCTTTGGGTTTGAGGTGAGTCTCTTGTAAGCAGCATATAGATGGGTCTTGATTTTTTATCCATTCTATTACTCTGTGTCTTTTGATTGGTGCATTCAGTACATTTACTTTTAGGGCGATTATTGAAAGATATGTACTTATTGCCATTGCAGGCTTTAATTTGTGGTTACCAAAGGTTCAAGGTTAGCTTCTATCTTACTGTCTAACTTAACTCACTTATTGAGCTATTATAAACAATGTCTGATGATTCTTTATTTCTCTCCCTTTATATTCCTCCTCCTCCATTCTTCATATGTTGGGTGTTTTGTTCTGTGCTCTTTTTAGGAGTGTTCCTATCTAGAGCAGTCCCTCTAAGGTACCGTGTAGTGGTGGTTTGTGGGAGGCAAATTCCCTTAACTTTTGCTCATCTGGGAATTCTTTAATCCCTCCTTCATGTTTAAATGATAATCGTGCTGGATACAGTGTTCTTGGTTCAAAGCCCTTCTGTTTCATTGCATTAAGTATATCAGGCCATTCTCTTTTGGCCTGTAAGGTTTCTGTTGAGAAGTCTGAGGATAGCCTGATGGGTTTTTCCTTTGTAGATGACCTTTTTTTTCTCTCTGGCTGCCTTTAATACTCTGTCCTAGTCTTTGATCTTTGCCATTTTTATTATTATATGTCTTGGTGTTGCCCTCCTTGGGTCCCTTGTCATGGGAGTTCTGTGTGTTTCTGTGGTCTGAGAGGCCATTTCCTCCACTAGTTTGGGGAAGTTTTCAGTAGATATTTCTTCAAAGACACTTTTCCTTTTTCTCTCTCTTCTTCTTCTTCTGGTACTCCTATGTTGCAAATATTGTTCCTTTTGGATTGGTCACACAGTTCTCTTAATATTCTTTCATTCCTGGAGATCCCTTTATCTCTCTCTGCATCAGCCTCTCTGTGTTCCTGTTCTCTGTTTTCTAGTCCATTAATGGTCTCTTGCATCTCGTTCATTCTGCTTTGAAGTCCTTCCAGAGATTGTTTATTTCTGTATTCTCCCTCCTTAGTTCTTGCATATTTCTCTGCACATCCATCAGCATGGTTATGACTTTTGTTTTGAATACTTTTTCAGGAAGATTGGTTTAATCTACCTCCCCAGATTCCTTCTCAGGAGAGGATGTGGAAGAGGTCTGGGTTAGCCTAGTCTGGATCAAATTTTTTTGCCTTTTCATGTTGATAGATGCAGTAGTATGCTATTGACTCATTTGTCAGCTGGGAGAGCCAAGAGCTTTCCCACTTGCTCCTGGTCTTTCTTTACTGGGACAATGGTGACCCTTAGAGGCTTGTTTTGGGCAATTGCACATAGATTGTGTCTGTTTCTTGCCCAGCTGCTATGGAGGAAGCTCCCTGGCTGTCTGTGTGGCCAGCCTCAGGCTGCTGCTCTGCCATGGCAGGGCACCAGAGGGGGACCGAACAGGGGTGCTCTTTATCACCGTGAGGCATCTTAGAGCTGCTGCCCAGGCAGTTAGGTTGCCCGGAGTTCCCCAGGATTCCCAGCTGCTTGGCTAAGTGTCCCAGGACGCTTCCGTCCAGCTGTGGGGTCCCTGTCCCTTTAAGACTTTCAGAAAGCACTTGCTTTTCTTTGTCCCGGGGGCACTGACTGCAGGGACCCACTCATAGGTCTTACTGTCCTGTTTCCCTAGTATCCAGCAACCCACGCCTGGGTGTGGATGGCTAGGGCTGGCTGTTTAGCAGTCCTGGTCTCCCTCTCCCTCCCCGCTCTGACTCCTCTCCTCCTGCTGAGAGCTGGGGTGATGGGTGCTCGGGTCCTGCCAGGCCAGGGCTTGTATCTTATCCCCTTCACAAGGTGCTGGGTTCTCGCAGGTGTGCATGTAGTCTGGCTGTTTTCCTGTATCTTCTGGTCTCTCTTTTAGGGATAGTTGTATTTGTTGTATTTTCAAAAATATATATGTTTTTGGGAGGAGATTCCTACTGTCCTACTCATGCCAACATCTTGGTTCCACCCCAGTCTGACTCTAATCTGCTTTTAAATGCTTCCATTTTATGTTTCATTTCAGATACAGGATTTCTTAATGATTGAATCACCGTCTTAACTTCATTGCTGAGTTCTTGAATATTTTTCTGTACTTCCATAAGCATGTTTATGATTTTTATTTTGAACTCTCAGTAAGATTGGTGAGTTCAGTTTCATTTGGCCCTTTTTCTGTGTTTTATGAGATTTTGGTCTGAACTGTGTTTTTTTGACATGTCATATTTCTATGTGGTGCCCGCTAGTCCCCAGAAGCTCCAGTCTCTGGAGCAGCTCAGCCCCTACTGTGCGGTTGGGTGTCATAGGGGAGTGGTGCTCATGCCTGGTGGGAGGAAAGAGCTGTTTCCTCATTTCTGGCTGTGGTGTCTGTCTGTAATGTTAGAGCCAGTGGGCCAAGCACACAGGTCTAAGCCTCTGTGCTTGGTGTCTCTTGCTGTTGTAGATGGGGCCTCCCTCTGGCTGGCCTGATGCCAGCACAGTGACTGCTGGTTTGCGAGCAGGTTCCGGTAAGCCAGGAGGAAGGTACAGCAGTCTGCGTGTCACAGTAGTGGTCCTCATAGCTGAGTAGCCAGCCAGGCAGATGGAGTGCTTGAAGCTCATCAAAGTTCCCAACCTGCTGGGCAGAGCCTACCCAGACAATCTTGTCTAGTTCTCCCTTCTCCTGTGCAGCAATCTCCATGGGAAACCCACCCCTTTAGCAGCCCTGTCACTGCCAGGAAGCCTCTGAAACTGCCCATCTTTCCTCTCTCCCAGAGCTGCCAGATGTGGATCCCTATCCTCCACAAATGACCATAATCTCAATCTCTCAAGCACTCTGCTTCTCCCAGCTCCCCAACCTCCAGAGCACCACACAATGTAGTTTTCTGCTTTCAAAGCAGACACCCAGGGCTGGGTGTTCGGCAGTTCTAGGCTTCCACCCCCTCCCCACTTCATTTCTCTTCCTCCTGCTGGTTAGCTGGGTTGGGGGAAGGGCTTCGGTCCTCCCGATCAAGGCTTTTGTACCTTACCTTGTTTTGTGAGGTCTGCTCCGTTTGTGAGGTCTGTATGTGGTCTGGTGCAGCCTTCTTTCCTGTTGCTGTTTTAGGGCTAGTTGTATTAACTATATTTCATACTCTATGTGGTTTTGGGAGGGGTTCTCTGTCTTACCTCTCATACTGCCATCTTGAATCTCCCGTCTCCCTTAAGGGCATCTCATACATCATTGCCCAGCTCCTCCAAGCAATGCTGAAGTGTGTCCCTCTCCTGTCAAAGTCTTTCTGTCTCCTCAATAACCCTCTCTCTCTCCTTGTTAACACTTTCCCCTATCTCAAGGAAAACTTGTTGCACAATCTGGGCTGCTACACTGCCCCTCAAGGCCTTTAAGCAGACTTCTATCTCATGAAGGGCTAATTCCACAGTTTCTGGTGTCTCTGCCCTTCCCCAATTCTGGGGAAATCCCAACCCCTCTAGGAGGTGCTTTGCCCTATAATAGTTCTCCACTAGTGGCTCCCCAGTTAGAAGTCCCACAGAAATTAGGTTCCCAAGTGAAGTTACACCTTCTACTGCTGCAGCCACTGGGTCCTCCTCCCCAATACACACTGGGGGTTCCAGGCATCTCCCCACCATCTCTAGAGGCAGCCCATTCAAGGGTTGCACCCATGTAGGCAAACTTTGGGTTCAGAGGTCCTTTCGACTCTGCCAGATGTAATGGGGAAAGTCCCAGGGCAAAATGCCTTTGATACCAAAATCAGTCAAAGGGAGAAATAAAGTGGGAGAAACATGTTTATTGCCTCCAAGCAGTCATCCACTTCTGCTCTCCTAGCTGCAGAAGAAGGAATCCCACCCAACCTCTCTGGTCCAGTTATGACCGCACTCGCCCTCGAAATTACCTATTGAGATGGAGATGGACTACTTCTCTCCACCCCTTGGAACACCTATGGATATGGAGATGCACTAAGGCCAAGTGAGAGATTCTGAAAATACTGCAATTATACCCACATGGAATAGGAGGACTAGAAATAGTAGGACCCCAAGTGAAATGATGGGAGAAGACTGGAACTGTCAGGAGAGTTGTACATAGCCTGATAATGAAGTATATCAGAATTCAGGATCCAGTCCATTTCACAATGACCAGTATTAGAATTTAATATCCATAAAGGTGAGCTATTGAAATATAGTTCTTTTCCCTCTAAAGTCACCCCCATTTTTATTAGGGAGTAACCATACTAACATTTATTTGTTAGTAAAATAAGTTTAGATTTAAAAAATTTGGCCTGATTATTTACAAATACAATGTTCCAGTCAAAGTCTTGGTAATATAAGCAATGTTTTCAATTGTGTCTTGTCACAAGGAGAACAGGTTCTTATTGAACTTATGTAAATAAATATACTGCCATAAAATATAAAAATGTTCACTGAGAGCTTCCAAATTTGGGAGGGATCAGGTAAAGAGAAAGAAAATATTTCAGTCCTGCTCATAAAGGTATAATTTAGTAGACTGCTGTAAATTAGCTGAAGCAAAAACGTTTAATAACAAACCTTTTTTTTAAAGCTTAGAAACACTTGAAAAAATTCATAAAAATTAAAACCATTCTCCTCAGTTTATTCAATCTTATGTAATTAATTCTTGTTTGGCTTGAATCTAGTTTTTCTACTAGTTCCAGAGTAAAACAGTAACTATAAGTGACAAAAGACTTAAAAACAGCAATGATTAAATATCTGATGAGAGTTCATCATCAGGCAATTGACAAGGAAATTTGGTTATTTCTGTAACATAACAGTTCAGTAATCTAAAGTTTAGTTAGCATCATTCATTTGACAATGTTTCCCAGGTGATTTTTATAAGCCAAAAAGCTAAATAGTTCTCTTTATGGGGAGAAAATCCTCTGACAATGTTCCAGGACCCCTCTGGAAAATCTCGGAGTTAACTAGAAGTAAAAGGCTTTATTTAGAATTTAATTTTGGGAAGTTGTTAAAATTATCAAAAAGTTTTAAGGCACTTGCCTAAATAGGACTATATGTCACCACAAAACAATACTTATCATTTAATCAAAGTGAAAATAAAAGATTTTAAAGGCAGATAAAGAAAGTCACATAGTTGTTGAAAGGGTATCTCGCCATGACCCTCCTTACCCAGAACGACTCAGGAGACACAGGCCCATGCAAGAGATTTTATTATCTAAAAGAGAAAGTGGCTGCCCCTAGAGGGAGAGAGGGAGCAGCAGCGTGGTGCAGAGTGTTGTGCCTTTTATTGTGGTTGAGTATCGCTTGGCCTGTTGCCTTGGGGGCAGGTCGGAATGTTTAGAAGCCCAGGCAAGCCCTGACAAGTCCATGCATAATTCTCACTGGCTTATATGCTTGGGACCATGGGGTAAACAGAGGGTAAATTACTATTTTCTTATACTCCTCCTTTTTCTGTTTTATATGTGGTAGAGGATTTGGGAAGGGGTGAAGGTCAGTCTTCAGTAACTGCTTCCTGCTGATTAAGGGCGATGAAGTTCATTTTTGTATTGATGGTGGGTGGTCCTCAGTTGAACCCTTGGTCTGAAGTGGCAATGGTGTGTTCCAGGTTAAATAAGGATCTTCATATTTGGAGAGGGGTTGGTAATCCTGTAATACAAACTGGTTAGAAATTTTTTTTGCATTTGGGCCGATTGCTATGTTTACATAGGGTGGCTAATTTATAGCATTGTTTGGGGACATATGTGTGTTAGGCTGGAGGAAGGAAAAACAAGGACATGCAAACAGAACAGAGAGATGCCATGGGGGAGAACAGACCAGACCCCAAGGTTTGTACCTTATATGGAAAGGGGACAGCTCTTCCTGAATTCCATCCTTCTGATGTGCCAACTAAGATCCAGATGTCAGCCTCCTCCCTCTTGGAAGGAAAAAAAGTTTCTAGTTGTCTATTATGTCACCTTTAGCCAATCATACCTCTCCACACCCCCTAGGATAGCTTGCCCACTCCTCCCCTGCTAATCCCTTATAAGGCCCCACCTCCCTGACTGGGTGTGACTTCCCTGGTCTGTAATACCCAGACCGTGGAACATCACCCAGGAGTTGCACTCAAATAAACTACCTGGCCCTTTGTTGCCTCTCTTCGCTTGCTTATTTCGGCTAAAATTTATCTTATAAACTTAAATTAGCATTAGTACTTAATATTTTCTATTAGAATTCTCTGGAAGTTTCAGAATGCCCAATTTTCACAAGAACTTGTCTCTAAATCAATTTTTATTAATACCATCCAGAGGTAGAAAAATATTTTTCATTTACACACATACGGATTGAGATGTAATGTACAGTGAGAGGACAGACAGAGCTCCTGGCATGAGCCAGGAGGGGACGAGAGCCCATGGTGGTGCATTGTCTAGGGGTTTATTAGGCAGTTGAGGATATTTGGGAATGTGAAAAAAGCTTGTGGGTGTGGACTTTAAGGCAAGTAGGAGGTGTTTAGGATTGCTTGGGAGACAGAGAGAGCTTGGCTCAGAGGTAGGAGAAAGCCTGGATATATGGGATCTCTTTCCATTTGCCCATGTGCTCACAGAAGTTGTGTAAGTCATGGAGAATTTTAGGATCTGAAGAGCCACTGAGGGGCCATTTAGACTGATTGTCCAAGGGATATTGTGGCCAGATCTCATTACAGTAGTGAACAAACAGAAACGGTTTGAGGTCTGGAGTGAGGTAGAGGGGTTTTAGATTATTGAGTAAGCACCCTAGTGGTGAATCTGTGGGAATGGAGGGGCCAGATTCCATGGTGAGAATGTGACTGTTCACAAATCACTGAGAGGTCCCAGAGCAATTGAGAAGGCTGCAGAGAAGATGAGACACAGTTAGGGGGTCATCACCACCTCTAACCAAGTGGTTGAGGCGAAAACATCAAGGAGGATCGGTACCTCGTACCAGGAATTTATGAGTAGATAAAGGGAGACTGGGCCTCAGTGGATGAGGATTCTCACCATGGGGAGGCAGAGAAGGGTTGACTATAGGGATCAACTGTGACTCTGAAAGTCGTGGTTGGGGGTGCCCCTGTCCCGGAGGAGCCCTTGGGGGTGCTGGACACTCAACAGTCACTTCCCAGTTTCCAAAGGGACATTTAAGTTGACTATGAAGGGGAGACTCACCAAATCGAAGGCCAGTGTTGGGCAAGAAGACAAGCAACTGGGGAAATCGGCGGTGAGCCTGTGGAGGAGGATTGGGCAGTGGGGGTTCCCAGAGCAGCTCAGATTCCCAGAGGAAGAGCAAAGTCAGTGGGAGGACCTCATCCGAGTCACGGCACCAATGAAAGGGTATCTCACCACAACCCTCCTTACCCAGAAGGACTCGGGAGACATGGGCCCACGCAAGAGATTTTATTATCTAAAAGAGAAAGTGGCTGCCCCTAGAAAGAGGGAGGGAGCAGCAGCGCAGTGCAGAGCATTGTGCCTTTTATTGTGGCGGAGTACTGCTGGGCCTGTTGCCTTGGGGGAGGGTTGGAATGTTCAGAAATAAGGTGGGGCAAGCCTAGGCAAGCCCAGACAAATAAAGGCATAATTCTCACCAGCTTATGTGCTTGGAACCTTGGGGTAAATGGAGGATACATTACTATTTTCTTATAGTTGTTAGCAAAGCTTAGCTCTTTTAATATTAAGATTTTGTTTTCTTGAGTACTCAAAAGGCCTGATTCAAAAAACATGAAGTGCAAGTAATTATTCTGATAAAACAACTAGAAAAATCCTTCAGAATATCTTAATACTAGGAGCAGAGCAATAGTTCAAGAAAACTTTGTCCTTTGACAGAGAACAAAATTTTGCTGTGTACTTGATATCAAAACTCATTTACTTCAATTTCACATAGCATGGCCACATTAAATTCCTTTTCCACAACCCTTCTCCAACTTTCTTTTTAAATTCAGAATTTCCCCTCTTTAAATAACGAACTTCATGTTAGGACAAAATTTCCTTCTTTTCTCTCAAAAATGCATTTCCATTCCTTATACCTTATCTTATCAAAACATAACATATCTTCTTTTACATGAAAGTCCTTAATTAGAACTTACAACCCTTAGAAACTTTAGTTTTCAGTGAAAACTAAGAAGTAAGCAATTGTAAACTGTTACAGTAGCTTTCTTTAGATTTGCAAATTTATGAATTGTGGGTAAAATTGTAACATTTTCAGAATATCTCACCTGGCTTTAGTACGTCTGCATATCAACAGGAGTTCAGAGGTGGAGAGAAGTGTGGCTTTAGTGTATTTGCATCATTCCTTTGGTGGGGCAAGCCTAGGCAAGCCCAGACAAGTAAAGGCATAATTACCTATCAGTGGGTAATTACCTGGGCAAGGTGGGCTTATCTGTACCCAAGAGGTGAGGGGAGGGCCGGTTTGCTTCTGCTGGAGCAGGAAAGAGAGAAGGACTGGGACTACAGTTTGTAAGCAATAAATGGATTTTAGACTTTATTTCTCCCTTTGACTGATTTCAGTTTTTAGAGGTATTTTGCCCCAAGATTTCCTTTCCTTGGACTTATATGAATACATTTCATAATTTCTAAAAATGTGCTTCTTCATAACACAATCTTTCAGTAAGCACAAGTTTACTAGTAAACCCAAATTTGTTTTTATTTTCTCTGTAATAAAGAAGCCAAAAATGGATAAACCTGTATTCAGTAATTAATGTTTCATTATTTTATGTTATTTGGAAATAACCTATTTCATTAACTTGACTCATTATTTAACTTAGCAAAACGTTAAGATTTCAGGTTACCAAAAAGATTTTCAAGTTGTTTTTAGGTATACATATTGTAACACATAATTATTGTTAAAAACTTTATATCCTACACCTGTTTAGTTCACTTGTTAACAACCATGCTAGATTATCTTCGAAGGCTTCATTAAACATCAGACAGCTGTCCCAAGCCTCACTCTTTTTTTTTTTTGAAAGATTTAACATATCAACTAGGCAGAATAAAATTTTTCATTTTAATGCTGATAACTGTAAAAACGTGTCTATTTTAATTAAACTGCAATTAGCATTAATGCTGACTATATCAGAATTTCTGAAAGTTTTAGAATGCCTAATTTTTACAAGCACTTATCTTTAAACCAATTACTTTTTAGCAGTACCATCTGGAGGCAACATATAAGGACACATAGCTACAGAAGCTGATACAAAGATTTTCTAGTTATTAATATCCAGTTGCAAAATGGCGTTGTAATTAAGGGTCTCATTTTGGGGCCATTTCTCTCTGCTTAGCAGTTTGTAGAGGCCAAGTGTCATTATAGAAGGAAATCAGCTTCTTTCTTTTTAACCTATCTAATTTTAAAAGTCTCTCAGAGTTTTTAAGAATACATCCTAAGGGCCAGTAGTTTAGAGTGCCGTTTATGGTCAGGCTGTGTTGCAGAAGATTAATTTCTTCCATTTCGGGGAGTCTAAAGACCTCCCAAGTTTTTGAGGATGCACCCTAATGAGGACTCATTTAGAATGGAGGAGGTATCACCGATGACTAAGTCAGGTCCTGAAATGAGAAAGGAGTCTCCCACTACCCCCAGGGGAACCAGGTGTCCCTAATGCTCAAGGGGCTAGGAGTTGTCCAGAGGTCCCCAGAAACCCAAAAGTACCTCTAGGTACAGGTTATGTGAAGCATCCCTCCATCAGGTATGCACAAGAGGTCCTGTGGCCCACCTGACTGCATAGGAGTAGCTGTGGCTGAACGCCATCCCTGGCCATGGCTCCAAGAACAGGAGTTGGGGAGGAGGAGGAGTGGGGTCAGGACCTGAAGTCCAGGGTAGACTTTGCTTGACTGAGCAACCTGATAACATCACTTTCAGTGACCCTGAGGGGAGACAAAGCATCTCAGTGTGGTGACATCGAATTAGATGGGTTATTAAGCTAGATCCAAAGGCCAAGGTCTCATTCTTGGCTGTCTCATAGGTACACCCAAAATGCTTTAAATCCTAGGTGACCCTGGATGGCATAGACAGACCAAACAGACTGCTCATCCCAAAGTGGAAGGTGATAGGTGTGAAAGGCAGAGAAAAGGGGTATAGAAGTTGCGAGTCCAGATGTGAATGAAGAGGCAAGAGAATAGGCGTGCAGGCAGGGGGATAGACATGGAACTGAAAGGAAGATGGGCTACACTGAGACAAGGAGGAGGTGCCAGGGATTGCATGAGTGGAGGCAATGGATCCTGGGAAGTTGGGAGCACACCCTCTAGGGAGAATGTGCCAGAGTGGGGTGGATGGTTTTGCTTCACAGGCTACCTTGAAAGGGACATTGCCTGGAGGTTGGTGGCCTAGAGAAAATCTAACCTGTTTCAGGACCAATTTACCCTCACATGGGAGACTTACTGTAGGTGGCAACTGCTTTAGTGGCTTTTAGTCAATCTGTGCCCACCAAGGAAGTAGCAAGAGCAACCAAAGACCCAAAAGAAAAAAGACAAGGACTGTACCTTAAAGTAGCATAGAATCCCCCCTTGCCTAAACCATTAGTGAGGGCTGCATTAGAAGTCCCTTTGCAGTCACCAAGATGTTGTCAGACAATCCAGTCCAATCCAGTTGAAGACATCTCCCTGTGTGCTAGCTGAGACCTCAACATGCAGGAGAGTTCTTGAGTCTGACTGAGAAATAATTCACAAGCAGGTTGAGCAGGTACAGGCAGAGTGTTTTAATGAAGCAAAGTACACACCCAAGGAGGTAGTGTGGGCATGGTGCAGACGTGAGCAGCACCTGAGCACTTATTTTTTTTATCACATAATCCTCTAAATGTTTTATATTTAACTCACTCTCTCAGTCTTCACAACACGCCTAGGAAGTTGTTTCTATTGTAATGACCATCTTGGGAAACTGAGGCACATTATGGCTCGATGATTTGCCTAAGATTTTGTCAAAGGGACAAGCTAATGGATTCAAATAAAGATGGCTAGGCTGCACTGTGACCTTGTTTCTGTCTCCCATATTCTCCATCTCAGCGAAAGACACATGATACTCCTAGTTCTCTAAGATCTGACTCCAGTCTAGCCTCTTTTAGCTTGACATCCTCCAAAAAACTTATGTTTCAATTAAACCAGATGACTCCTTATTTCCCAAAAACACATTTTCAAACTTGTCTTTTTTGTTCATATTGCTAGAGGATATTTTTTCATTAGGTTGGATTTATTATTTTATTATAAAATAGAGACATGGGAATTATTTACAGGATGAAAGATTTCAGAACTTCAGTGAAACAGGCACCTTCATGTGGTGCCATTTCTTTTTTTTTTATTCAGGTATGATTGATATACACTCTTATGAAGGTTTCACATGAAAAAACAATGTGGTTACTACTTTTACCCATATTATGAAGTCCCAACCCATACCCCAATGGAGTCACTGTTCATCAGTGAAGCAAGATGACACAGATCCACTATATGCCTTCTCTGTGCTACACTGTTCTCCCCGTGATCTCCCAAACATGTATACCAAACATAATACCTCTAAATCCCCTTCTCCCTCCCTCCCCACCCACCCTCCCACAACCCTCCCCTTTGGTAACCACTAGTTCATTTTTGGAGTCTCTGAGTATGCTGCCATTTTGTTCCTTCAGTTTTGCTTCACTGTTATACTCCACAAATGATGGAAATCATTTGGCATTTGTCTTTCTCCACCAGGCTTATTTCACTGAGTATAATGTCCTCCAGCTCCATCCATGTTGTTGCAAATGGTAGGATTTGTTTCTTTCTTATGGCCAAATAGTATTCCATTGTGTATATGTACCACACCTTCTTTATCCATTCATCTACTGGTGGACACTTAGCTTGCTTCCATATCTTGGCTCTTGTAAAAAGTGCTGCAATAAACATAGGGGTGCATATGTCTTTTTGAATCTGAGAAGTTGTATTCTTTGGGTAAATTCCAAGGAGTGGGATTCCCAGGTCAAATGGTATTTCTA